AGTAAATAATAATAATACAATTAAAGTACTAATATAATTATAATAATAATGCTATAAAAATGTAATATTATAATTAGGTACACCTCTTTCTTATATTATGACTTACGGCTGTTAAAAAATCTAAAACACCGATATTGCTCGCTTGTATTTGTATACATAAATTTTGCAGCCGTTTTTCTACTGCCCGAGTTTGTCCTAGTTTTTTAACAGTTTTCGAATCTCCTACAGCATTTAAAGCTAATTTCACTTCATCTGCGGAAATTTCCATTTTTATTTTCCTAATTAATTTCCAAATAGTTTGCTTCCCCGTGGCTGTTTTTGGGTGTAGTAGGACATTTTCCCCGATAAATTCTTTATGCGGACATTTTACCTCCCCTTCCCCCATTTTTTTTAAAGTTAACTATTTAATAATATTAAATTATTTTTTTTGTCTATTTATTCCTTTTCTAATATTGTCTAAATATAGAATACATTTCCAAATATTTTAATAAATATAATAAATTATAGATGTATTCTTTTGTTCAACTGAACTACTTGAAACAATAAAAATTGCTATTAAAATAATAATAAAATAATAATTAATATTTAAAACAAATTAAGTAAAAATGTAATTTTAAATAAATATAATAGGTAGCTAAAAATTGTCTTTGAAAATCGGTTATTCCATTCTTCAATTAATAATATTTAAAAATATTAAATTAAATTAAATTAAATAAAATAATCAACTGGAGAGTACCTAGGACCTAGGTTAAGGCGTTAAGCTACGTTTAGTATAATAATTTATTAAACGTAGGTAGGTACTTAATTTAAATAAAAATTACTTTAAAAAAATTACAATATTATTTACCTTCAATAATTATTTCGTTTCCACAAGTAGGTTTAGGTGGATCATTACATGCTCTGTGGTTTCTAATTGTTCTTTTAATACATTCTTCTTTTGGCAATTCAGCGAGTATACTTTGGGGTACGTTTGATACCACTTCCGCGAAAATTTGAGCAGGTAAATCGTTTGTTAGCTTAGCTTTTTCCACCATTAAATTTTTTCTTTTAGTCGCAGAAATAAGATTTTCATTTGATTCATGCACATGATCGTTATTTACAGAAATCAAAGTTAGCTTAGCTATGTTCAAATCAGTTTTTAAAAAACATGGACACTTCATAGAGCTGTTTTTTGAACACCTCTAACGAAGAAAATTAGAGCATTCTTTATGGAAATTGTACAAAAATCCCTTATGCGCAACCTGAGGGTATTTTTTGTTAGAATTTATTAACTCCAACTCCATTTTATAAACTGCGAAAAAATTTTAAATTTAAAAACAAACGTATAAACGAAATTACGAAACTATACGATATTATACGATGTCATCCAAAAGACTGGCAACAGTCTCATTAGTCATTACCTATATTATGACTGTGTGTGATGTTTGGAAATGGGGAATTTTCTATTGTACCATTTAATATAGAATCAAAATATATGGCGTATGATAGTTATTATGGTAGATAACAAATTTATTTTATACATACGACATACCTATACATTACACACTAAAATAAGTACAAAGTACAACTATACAACCGTAGTATAAGAATAAGTATTTTGGTGAATTTTCCAGTTAACTTTTTTTTCTATTATTTATTACTTAGGTATTATGGTAGATGACAAATATATGTACAAGCATTTTATTCATTACACTTACACAGTTACACACTAAAATACAAAGCACAACTTACTATAGAACTGTACAAGTACCTTCAAGAATAATATTTTTTTTCGGGACTTTTTTTTCCGATTACCGCTTCTATTATATACGTGGTACCTACGTGCAGATTGTTTCGGCGAGGCTATAATAATATATTAAATCGGTTGGTCGGGGGTGCTGACGGTGAACGTTCTTTAGTTGGCATTTTTAAGCGCGTGTAAGGGAAATTCGTTGCCACGTAAAAGTAAGTCATATTAGTATACAGGAAAACCGCGAGAAATGCGAGTTGGCGACATGTTTGTTATTGTTAAATAACTTAAATATTGATTATAATAAAATATATTATACTGTACTAAATTTGTCTGTATCCATATTTTCTGCCGACCACGGAATTTTAATAAAGTACAAAATAAATTCTTAATTATTACAACTAAAAAAATGTACAAGATATTCCACCTCGGTCTTATTACTCTTGATGTCTTAAGTACCTATACATAATTATTATAGCATTGTATGCAATAATATTAATGTCTGCAGTCGACGAGGTACAATATTATATACCCTATTGTACTTAAATGTCTGCGAAAATGCACATTAGGTATAATGTCTATATGTATAATTATGAGTGTCTTAGATAATAAAATACAATTTAGCCATAATACACCCATACTGCTATATTATATATATTATAAAAAGACATTTTTAAAAAATGTAAAAATTTGTAAGTAGAATATACTTCGTAAAAAAATTACTACTCCTGACAATATTATTATGTGTCGTACCTATATCTTATTATAATATGTATATTATATTGTATAATGTATATTAAGTAAAATATTGAATATGAATAAAATAATATATATTATTTAGTATTATCTACGACATAGTGTAGAGTAGTCGGTAAAAAAATATCGTATGTACATACTATATATAATATGACAACGAGTCACGGGGATTACGTCATCGGGTGACGTCATTCATATAATATGACCGCGTACTACATCACAAACACGATCGCAGCAGGGGCGCATTTATGGGTGGTAGGGTTTTCACCAAGTCGCGCCGGCGCGTACCTACCTATAACATGTAATATTATAACACTATGTTATGTGTGCGGCGATTTAACTTTAAACACCGTGCGCAATATTATTGTTTTCATTTTAACAATAATTAAATAACCCCCGTAATAATAATATCAGCTAATGCAATTCAAATAAAAAAAGGTGGGCAAGTGGGTGTCGCTCTGCTGTACAGTAGGTTACAAGTGGGTCACTGTATAATGGATGGTATTAAATTTGAATTCAATGATATAATATCATTGTATAAGAAAAACGATTCTGAGCGGTGACGGTATGTCAGTCTATGTATAAGACATATTATATACATATCTATGGTATTAAACAAAAAATTGACCTATAATAGGTACCTATAATAAATTCCAAATTAATCATATCACAATATCCATTAGATACTTATAACACGTTAGACATCAACAAAAACCGTGATACTATCATAGATATATAATAGTACACTTTAGAAGTTTCAAGTACCCACGAATAATATTATTCAATCACAACAAAATAACTAAAATAGTTATTCTAGGTTTTTTAATATGTAATTTCGTCCAAATTTGAATTTAAAATGTCTGTAAAAAATAAGTGTGTTCATATATTTTTTAGATTTTTTGGTTACAGTATGAACTATTTACGAGAACTTTTGTGTTGAATTTGCAATCCTTAGCTATAAAAACTGAACATTTTATAATTTATTAATTACAATGATTGATAATTTTCGAGATTTTGATAAATTTTGTCAAAATTTGATCTTTAAATGCTTATAAAAAAAAACTGTGCCTATGTATTTTTAATATTTTTCAACTGCTATTGTAACAGTATATCAGGAGCCTTGTATTAAATTTTTACACTTTTTGGCCCAACAGATAAAACTTTATTGATATTTATAGAAAAAAAAACTAAAAAAAATTGAAAGCTGTAAATGTCCATAAACAGCTCAAAAAGAGTCAAAATATTTTCAAAATTGTATGGTGTATAGAAAATGCTAATTTAAACATTCAGTGAAATTTTCATGTATCTACAGTTATTTGTTTTTGAATTACAACAAACTAAGGAAATCGCTACATGGGAAATCGAGTGAATATTCAATGTTGTAAAAATTTGAATTTCAAACGCTCATAAAAATTTAATTTGACTTTCTTATAGACATTTTTTTTTTTGATAAAGGTAGATAATCTTATAAGGAATCTTGTGTTAAATTTTCAAATCTTAGATTTAAAAAGAAAAATTTTTACGAATTCTTAACTCAAAATAATTTGCTAATTTTCGTGATTTTTCCATATTTTGTCAATTTTTGAACTTTAAGTGCTTATAAAAAAAAATTGTGACTATGGATTTTTAATATTTTTCATCTGCCTTTGAAACAACATATTAGGAGCCTTCTATTAAATTTTCAAGCTTTCGCAACCAACAAATAAAATTTTATTGATATTTCTAGAAAAAAAACTAAAAAAAAATGAAAAATGAAAATGTCCCTAAACAGTTCAAAATAAATCAAAATATTTTGAAAATGTTATCGTGTATAGAAAATGCAAATATAAACAACCAGTGAAAATTTCATGTATATACGTTCATTTGTTTTAGAGTTACACCAAAAACCAAAATCGATTTTTTGGAAAACCAATTTTGCGTAAAAATTCCCGTTTTTCCTTAATTTTTATGTTGTTTTTCCCGGCGCTTGTGAAAACTACTGGGAAATTTATACTTTTGACCCCCCAAAGTACCAACTAGATTCACTTTCCTATCAGAAAAGCTACTGATGAAGAAAATCCAAGCACTTTTACTGTCCTAAAACGTGATGACAGACACAAAAATAAAAAAAAAATAAAAAAAAAAACACACATCATTGTAAAATCAATACATTCATCGTTTCACTCAGAATCTAAAATGCAATTAAAATTGTTTCTATGTTAATGCGATTCTAATGTGAATCAACCGAAGTTTTAATAACACTGTATTAGGGTATACCCCGCTGTGAATCTATATAATATAGAACTTTCTCTCCAGGCGTCTTGCCTTTTCTTCAGCATCCTGATATACATAGGCGCAAATAGCGGGGGGGCTGGGGGGGCTAAGCCCCCCCTAAACTTTGTATAGCCCCCCCAAAATAATTATGTCATATATTATATATACTCTAAATTACGGTATATGCAACAAATTTTGTATTTATTTTTGCTCATACACATCGAAAAATAATGCGAATATTGAAGTTCAAGAATCCAAAAACATGGCACAAGCTATTGGTATAGTTTATACTTAAATATTTCAATTAGTTTTAATAGTTTTACTTTATTTTTAATTAACATGTTCTAGGTGTTCTTGCAACCATTAAAAATGTTAAGTTTGTTGTACACTTATTTATTCTACGTGAAGTATTAAAAATAGTAAATATATTGAGCGTTCAGCTTCAGGCCAAATCAGCTACATTGGGCAAATCTGCTAGTTTAGTAAAAGGCATAATAAGCACTTTAGAAAATAATCGTTCGTCTGACCACTTCAGTGAGCTGTGGGTTGATATCATACAATTTTGCAATGAGAATAATATTTATATAAATACTTCCACTACTAGTAAAAATATATAAAAAAAATACTCAGACTATCTGTATGACATGTTTTATAATTTTTAGAAGAATTAAAGAGAAGTAGAAAAGAGCCTAGATATCTCCAAGATTTTGATGTGACTACAGTAACAGGATCCGATGATGATCTTATTAGAACAAAGGATGTAAAGTCATACTGGAAAATAAATGCTTTTTTTCCCATTCTGGATGTAATTATTATTAATATGAAAAAAAGATTTTCAGCTGAAAATTTTCAGATTGCTACATCTATTGAAAATTTAATGAAAATGGATTTTGAAGGAAGCTCATTTTTAATTGACCATTATAAGGTAATTAATTCAATATATTTTAAATGTAGTATTTATAATAATTGACTATTATTTTATTTAGGATGTTTTAAAAGTAAATACTGAAGATTTAAAGTGTGAAATGACTGTATTTAAAAATATTTTAAATGGAAACACAGAATATGAATATTTTAAGGAACATCTTACACAACAAGTTTTTCCAAATTTATTTAAACTCGTTCAAGTAGCAATCACATTACCGGTCAGTTCATCCACTTGTGAGAGATCATTTTCGGCAATGCGAAGGATCAATACATATTTGAGGTCTACTATGTCTCAAAACCGGTTCAATGAATTAAATAATAATTAATTACTTAATATAGAAAAAGATATTGTTGTAGACGTTGAAGATATTTTAAACGAATTTTCTAAAACAGAAAGAAGAATAAAACTAATGTAATTTATTTTTTAATAATTTGTTGTGATTAAAACATACATATTTAACTATTGTAAATTGTTGATTTTGATTGGTACTAAACAATCTGAACGTAGTAAGGAAAATTTTTTTGTAATATAAGTGTCAATAAAGTGTTCAATCTAAACCTGAGTTTCAGCCCCCCCAAATCTCAAACACTATTTGCGCCTATGCTGATATACATATTGAAAATGTCCACCTCGGTTGTTTATATATATTAAGTATATTAACATAAACAATTTGTAATAAGCTTCGTTTTTAATAATATCAAATAGACTACGCGTAATAAAGCGTAATATAGCGTAATAAAGGGCATAGGAATATGAAAAAATAAAACAAAGGGTAGGTATTTTTATTTATTTTGGTTGCTCTCATGCTACGCATAGTCTCACGAAACTAGTCCGTATGGCTTGATCGCTCTATCAGCTCAAATTGAAAATATCCAACGACATGTAATGAGAAATCGAACAGTGAATGTGTAGTAAGTTCGGAGGGTGGCAGGGAAAATAAAAAAAAAGCCGAATACCTATTTATCATCGTACGCGATGGGTCTGTAGGATGCGTAGGATGGGTCGGTCTGTCCAAATGCTACAGTGGAAATATATCCTCGAGTGGCAAAAGACAGTATAAGTCTTAAAGCTTACACAGATAATGTAAACCTCACTGACCTGTACGTTGTATATCGTAAATACAAACATTGTTTTGGTAATACGCATTATAGCAAAATACGTTAAGACATTAAAATTTATAAAATTATATACGGCGTACATGTTGGTATCGAAATGAAGCTATGGTAAATCTATAATCTATTATGATTTAAATATTCTATGTTTTAAATTACACTGTTTAAGTGTACGCTCACTATGGTGAGTCGACTAATTTATTCAAGCATACTCAATATTTATACCTATGAATTAAATTTTAAGGTATTCATAATTTGATTTAGTGGGTTTCAAAAAAATATTTTCGACCTCATGAAATTTAATGATCTTATACGCTTAGAAATGACAGTTTCTCAGAAACGTAACAAATTTACTAACTATTTAATTATCTAGACTGTACAAACTTGTATGTATACTAGAAAAATCAAAAATCAAACGAAGTTGCAATGATTAAAAAGGAGAAGCGGTTCTTAAAAATGGTATTGTAATATTGTATGGCAATAGTGATATTCGATTTGAATGTATAAAGTAGGTTACCTACAATAGCTAACGTTTTTGGGATTTAGTAATGACTAATGAGTGTACCTATAGGTAATGGTTAATGACTAATAACTTTTCTAAAATTGACAAATGTATCATGTAATTTAAGCACACACATAACATTACAATAAAATATTATAATATGAGGTTAGTTTATGTTTATAAATTAAAAAACCTATAATGATGGTTTTCTTTTTTTTTTTATGTTATAACAATAAGTAGGTACATACAAACCCTCAGTACCTAATAAAAAATATATCATTCAAGTTACAAAAGTTATCGTTTACTATATGTCTATATTATTACTATAATTTAACATTCAATATGGTGGTTTATAATGTCAGTGTCCAGGGCCCAAACCCCATAATGGAGGTACGTGACATCCTCTCTTTGGGATATCACCAAAGAGATAAGCCCCTCGACAATTACAATAGACCACCACACATATCCTAAATTATTATTTATCTGTTAAAATAAGATCACTGAACAAGCACTGATTGCACGTCTCATGGTCTTAACTCGAGATTCTGTATCATATCATAAGCAACCACAAAAATACAAATATTTATTGTGTATACATTTTAACAAGGGTTTTCTATTGAAGCCTAACATAGTAACATGGTCATTGGTCAACATATAAATATATAATGTAATGCCGATTCTATTGACTGAAGAATTATATGTGATGACACCGAAACCCACACAGCGACATGCATAAATACATTAGAATTATAACATGATATTATAATGTATAATATTATATTGTTAAATTAACTTTAATATTTACACTGTTTGTAAAAAATATATTTCATCATAAAACTTATAAAAACGTACTTGTTGTTTATAAGTTTATAATTATTTATATTATATAGGTACACAAATTAGATACCTATAAATAAAGGTACAAATATAGACAACGCCACAACGGTAGTACACCTCAGCGGCTCAATCCCATAATCACAATGTATTTTCAGGAATTGTGCAAGTTATGTAATATTAGTATACCAATTAAATAGTAGGTACAATCAGAATTTTAAAAAATGCCATGATTAAACCATATATTGTTCTATGATTACACTATAGGAATACCTACCGAGTATGAACATCATATGCGACTATGAAAGACTATCCTATTCATTCCACCCTCTATAAATAACTAGTTGTACGTATAGTATTGCTTATGATTTTATGAGTATCTATGAAAATAAATTTCCATGATATTATAATTTATAATGAGGTATTCATATTTATTACTATGACCGAATACTTTCTTAGTTTTAATATTAATTTTTTATTGCAAATCAAGTAAACATTTTTAATTACTAATAAATAAATACACATATTTTGTAGCTGCTAATTGCTCAATAATTTATTAATATTGTTTTAGCTGTTTTAATTTGCGTATTTGTGTGTACTCTGATGTGTGATCCCCATAACAATTTATTATTTGAGTCCTAGAAGGGTATTCAGCTCGCTCTGGTGGATATCTTAACCAAAATTAATAAATGGTGAATTTATTATTGTACGGTAGATGGTAGCACCACGAACTAAGATATGCATTATAATAATATTATAATTTATAAGTTATTAGAAAGAGCAATAGGTAGTTTTATTTGCTGAAAAAATACATTTATATTTTATTGTATTGTTGGACCGGACCTTATGCATTCAATTTTTCAGGTAGGTATTTACTTTTTTTACTGTTATGATTTATAATTTCCGACAAATATGTTGGAAATTATGAATCATAATCATCATTATTCATTATCAATAACATGATCTCATCAGTCATCACCTTAGATCATATACAATGGCAGGAGAGCTACTTTAAAAATTTGCTGTGTCCAATATAACCCCCTCCCCCCACTTATTAGTTATTTTATAGTAATTTTTGGCTCATTGCATGCGCAATAACTCGTTGTTCCATAAATTAAATGAGTGGTGGGGGGTTATGTTGGACACAGCCCGGCATACGAGAAATACACACATAGCTCCATCCATTGTATATGATCTAAGGTCATCACTAGGCAAGTTCCGGAGAAGTCTTCACAACACCCAACAACACTTACGTTTTTACAGGTGTATAAACTTTTGTCAAAATATTATATTTTAATACCTACAATTTACAAAAACAAGAAACTGTCAGATTCCAGATTCAACATCTAAAATCAAATTAACTGACTTAAAAGAATTAACTTAAAGCAATCAATCAGAAAGGCAACGGAAAATAGAAAAACAAAATAAAAATAAATATTATTATTGATGAGGATGATGAATGTGATCCGTTAGATGGATGCTGCAGTTATTAATATTATTTATTAAATAAGGTTTCGCACTATGATTATGTTTGTGCTCTTAGCTAAGAGCAGGCGCGATTCTAGGACTACATTTTCGTATGGGCAACAGTAGATTTAGAATTAGGTTTTAACTGCGAATAATATTCCTCATTTCCTCCCCCTTCCCTAATAAGGGGCACCAGAAATGTTGGTATGGGCAGCTGCCCACCCTGCTCATACGCTAGAGCCGCCACTGGCTAAGAGTCTAAACCGATCACCTATCTAGCCTTGATACCTGTTTTTTTTAGTCTTGTATTAGTTTTGCTAAGCCCCATCAAGGCCCCCCCCCCCGATTTACGCCAATATTTGCACCCCTCTTTCGATTCACTTACGCTTTTCTTCGGTGAAGCGCTCGATGTTCTCGCTGAGTATCGAAATAGATAGTATAGCTGTTAATTTTCGATCGTCAATTCCAGTAGGTACTTATACTATTTCCAGCCTATTCACTATTCAGCATATATGATTAATGACTGATAATGACTTTCACTTGGGACCTCATAATAAACTTATGTCTTATTTCGGTACCTGTCAGCAGTCCTGACTCTGTCAACAGGCCCGGGTTCACAGGGTGACCTGCTCAATGAAGAGGTAACTGCAATCGAAACCTATACTGTAGAGCAGCGGTCACCAAATGGCGGCGCTCTGCAGACAAATTTTATCTGGCCTAGTTAGCCAGTGGCCTACAGACAATGAAAAAAAGTAAAAACCGATAATAAATTACATAGGCTGGCACCGGTGACTCCTATATGGCTATATAACATGGTTTTAATCATTTTTTACGAGATTTTCGAATCTTATATAGTAGTATTTATGTAGTACTAACTTTTTAATAACTATTTAAACAGATTTGGACAACCATGGTGTTGAAGGGAGGGGTGACATGTAAAACTCCTGTAAACAATAAATGTTTTGTTCAAGTATACCTATAGATTTTATATATGCGCCATGCCACCATCCATCGCTTAACTACGAAATAACGTTGTTTATAATAAATTATAATTATTTATAAGTAGGTATCTATATTCTTTTCGATTCTGGCCACAACATCGGGCATCGCGTAGCAATGAAATGATAAACACAACACAGTGCAGACATAATATTAAAACCAATATACAAGTGGAATATAATTTCGTTTAGTATTTTGAGGACGGTCAAATGTAACATTTTCAAAATAAAATATATAAGACAGTGAAAACTGAGGCGAGACAAAATGCGTATCGCTTCTACATATTATAATGTCCGATCGAAATTTTGTAAAGATTCTAAACTTTTTACACAATATGTACAGGACACTCAAAAAAGAGATGACCAAATGGAAAATATTAAGTAAATAATAATTTTAATATTAACGACTTAAAGTTTTAAATTTCAAATATTTGGTTAATGTTTGCTCTATACAGGACGCTTTGTACATATCTTTCCCGGTTAAATTATATTCACGGGTCAAAGCACCATATTTATGCACTATTTGTGAGGACGTCAGGTCGTATAGTTTGTTTAGTAATTAGTACTGCCCGAGCGAAGTTTTGCTAGGACTTCCATTTTTATAAATATAATATAACATGTACCAATAAAGTCATGGCCAAACGTTAAACTATTATAATGAAGATATATTATGATAATTTAAGGACAACAAGACTTGAAGATTTAAATTTCAAATACTTGGTCGATGTTTGCTCTTTACTGGACTTCCTGCACTCCCTGAACATATTTTTGTAGATTGAACTGTCTGGAAGGTCTTCATATCAACGTATCAAACTTATGCATTATTTGTCAGGAGTCTGGATGTCAGGTCGTATAGTTTGCTTAGTAATGCCTGGCTGAAGCTAGGACTTCCATTTTTGTGTATATATATCTTATCAGACTTATAATATGTACAGGACGACCAGTAAAGACATGACCAAATGTTATACGAATAACGAATATAATGTGGATTTATGAATATATGATAATTAAAGAACAACGTGACTTAAAGTTTTAATTTTCCAATATTTGGTTGATTTTTGCTCTTTACTAGACGCCCTCTACATTGTTTAGTAGGATATGATTACGGAGTTCATAGTTCACTAACAAATTTGTGGAAGTTCACTGCGCTAATTAGGTATGCACTTCAGTCACATGCGCAGTATATGTATATGATTCGAATATGGAACAACGGAAGCCCAAATTACTTCCGGTATGGAATTTGTGAACGACTGTGTTAATTATACTTCTATTTTATAGTTTTTTTAAAAAATGTATTTCAACATAAGTAACAGCAGGTGTTTCCTGGAACGTACGTCTCATGGCAGCTTCCTGCAGCAGTTCAGCAGTTGCTTTCACTAATTGGAAGTCCTTTGGGCTTCCGGTAATTGATTTAATCACATTAATGTTTATTAAATTTACATAAGAGTAAATTTTTGTTTTATTTTGTTTTGGCATTTTGGGGTATTACGAATGCTGTCGTTATCGGACATTGTGAAAAAGGGGCCTACTCGCTGCAATGTTCGAAGTGGAGTCAGATGGCTGAAACAAAGAAAAATATATATATTAATCTTAATAGTTTTAAGTACATAATTTCAGCAGTGTGATCAAATCGTCAAAACCTTATAAATGTATTAATTTGATTAAAATAAAGATATTTGTGTTTATTTTTTTGGGGCTTTTTTCCACCTACCACAATGTTTAAATTCATCAAATATTCGTGAAGTAGCTACTTTTTTACCAAAGTATATTCGTAAGATTCCCTATAATATAACTTAAAACGTACGAATATTGAACGTTTATTGGTATATTTATTTATGTATACTTATATAATTATATGATATACTTATCTAATTTACGTCTAGGAAACATATAATTGTTTTAAAGTATTTAAAGATTTAAAGTATGCCGTTATCTAAGAAATAAGGTGTAGGTCACACACTAATTATTCAATGAGATACAGGCGTTAGATAATATACATGTGACGTCATAGAGTCGAAGTCTGAATGGCGGCATATATATATACATATCTTTTACGTGTCGACAACAATCTCAATCGTTAAAGATAATATTTTTTTTTATGTGATTATAATTTTGATATACTTTCTATTTTTTCATAGTAAATTTCCTAAAATTTGGTTTATACTGCAATAAGACTCGAGTCGTGAACTCAATATATTTAGGTACTTCATTATCATATATTATTATATCGTATATTATTTCTGATATCAACACCCCTTTTTTCTCAATGAATACTGCACCATATTCAATAATCTGCACACTAAACAATGCGTTATTGCTTCTGATTCTGACATCGATCAATCACTTTGCGTTCAAATGCCCTATTTTGTAAAAAATCATGTTTAATGAAATAAAAATTCATCATTGACCAACGTCTCTAATGGTTACACAACCCACTAACATGCCATGGGCAACTATGTCTAAACAACTACATGACATAGACAATATATTAATCCCTTCTGATGACTGTATTTTGACTTCTAACATTGTATATAAAAAAAGTACTGTAAATTAAAAACTCCTTTTATTTGGGAACTTTTAACTTCAAACGTTGTATACTCCAAGTTCTGTACATACAAAAAATAAATGTTTTCACAAAACTTACGATTTACGAACACTACTATCATTTATCACGCCTCTGTTATTGTACCTATATATACGCAGTACTGCGCACGGGCCAACTGCAATTTATAATATGTTTATTGTACACAATAACAAGATCTATTAAAAGTAAAATTTTAAATCCTAAGTACATAAATATACTTAGAATTATGAAAAAAAATTCGGAAATACTATCGTGTGTTACTACTTACTAAAATCATTGTGTAAATAAAACTATACTTTTACACTTGGGTGGCTGCTCACTCGTCGGCTTTATGAAGTCAAGCCGCTATTCATCAACATTATCTCGTTAAATAATCATTTTTTGAACTTCAGATATTTACCAAAACATTTTTCATTATTTTGACTATAATAATACAGCAATAATATTAAAGTTAAAAAAAAAATTTGTGTTATGTCTTAACTTTTAAGGAGATTGGAAACGGAGATGTTCTGTCTTTGTCTAACACTGCACGTGGGACCGGTAGCGTACGCGGGATTTTTCAATGCGGAAGAAGGGGGCTTGAAAATGAATTACAATTTTATTTTTATTTTGAACAGTATAATAATTTCAGACGTTTGGGTGAGGTAATCCAAAATGTTTTAACAACTTCAACTTCTAGAAAAAATTCTCTGATCATAAACTTTGATAGAGGTTTTTGCAAAAAACTATGGAAGCAAATTGAATCTAGTTAGTACTTTTGGGAGGTCAAAATTTAAAATTCTAAGTACTTTTTAAAATAAACAGGAAAAACAAAAATTAAATGGAAATTTGTTAAAATTGTTTGGTAACCTTAGTGAGACCGTCTTTGCTTAGATTGTATTTGATTAATTTTAGTTTTTTTTCCTAAAAAAGTCAATAAAAACTATTTGTTCAGTTAAAAAGCTTAAAATGTAATACATACGTTTTTATTATAGCTAAAATATTACTAATTAATGGTACATAGGAATGATTATTTTTTATAAGCATTTAAAGTTCAAACTTTGATAAAACCAGAGTAAATTTGTAGTTCAAAACTTATAAAATACTAGCTGACCCGACAGACGTTGTCCTGCATGATATTTCAATCGATTAGGATATTAAATAAAGTAAAAAATTAAATAATTAAAAAAGTCCGTAGACCAATATTTCCTCTTGCTTGACGTGGCATTATTTTATGTACGCGTTGCTGTACTAAACTACTTACAAAATTGTTTATTGATAACGATTCATTTTATAAAAAAATTAAAAACTTTCGTTGGTTTTAATTATATTAACGTTGTTTATAAATTATTTCTAATTATTTCTGATTTCACGGCAACCAATATTTATTATTATAATAATAGCTTTAAAACCCATGGCAACCATTTATAAACAAAAATATCCACCATAAATCTCAACATTCCCGAGCACCTCCACGGAATGGGCCTACCGGGTCCGATTGTGAATCTAAAACATTCTAGGGCCCACTAAAGCACACATAATATATATATATATATATATATATATAAATCAAAATCGGTCCAGCCGTTTAGGAGGAGTTTGCTTACAAACACGTACAGTAGAATTATATATATAAAGATTAAATTTGAATGGCTTGACATTTTAATACAAGGTCTTTCATACAACTAGATAATAATTCTAAAAACAGAAATTTAATTTGTCGTCATGTCTACTTGATATCGATTTTCCCACATTTTTATTTTATCCCCTGAATACTAAAAAAATCTTAGGTACTAAAAAAGGGAACTTAATATTTTAATTTTTGGAGGTAATAAAATAAAAAATTTAAAATCTGTGAAAGTCGATCTAAGATAATCTGTGGTACTATATAGAATCTGTGCTATAGTATGAGGTCTATGCCATAGATAATATAGAAATTGATAAGGCATAAAGTCTTATCCGTGATGAATTAAATTGTATGAATTGAGGCCATGAACCACGGACTAAGATATACAGGACTGGACACGACAAGGTTGGAGGGTGTGGGGGGGTTGACTACGAAATGTTTTACAACTAGAACACATCATACAAATTTCTAGTTCCATAAGTATCCACTAAGACGGCGCTAGTAATGCTAAAAGGAAAATATCCCCCCGAACTCCGCCTGTTGTAAAACATTTCGTAACCACAATATTCATCTCGTGTCCAGTCCTGTATATCTTAGTCCGTGCCATGAACTAAGATAATATCTTAGTTCATGATTGAGGCCAAATAAGAATACCTATATCAATTATTAGATTATAAATTAGCTACTTAATATATAGGTATACCTAATCATACTATACAAAAATGTAAGAAAACGGTCTCAATGTATGATCTATGTTGGATCGCTAAACTAACACGATATTAATCTTAGATCATATACAATGGATAGAGCTATAAGCAATAAAATGTGTCGCCAACATATCAAGAGGGCATCTCACTTTTACGCATGCGCAAAGTACTGTTATCAGTTTTATCACAACCAACCTAATCAAATAATATTATACAATCTGTTGTTTAATGTTTAACATTTTTAATTTGTTTCATTTTAATTAAGTTTGACATTTTTATTATAAGATTTATTTTCGTTATTCATATAATAATAAACATGTCAAAAAATGCTTGTTTATTATGCCTGAAATCCATGAAAAAAAATCCAGGATTATCGTTACATGCGTAAGTCGTTTTTAATACTATTTTCAAATTTAGTAAATAATTTAATATTTATATTATTTAAATTTAGATTTCCTAAAAATCCAAACATACGTCTAGAATGGCTCAACCAATGTGGTTTTAGTGAAGATGATATTGTGTCGAATAGAAAAATATGTTCCCTACATTTTGAGCCTACATGTTACAAGTCTGCAGATGAATCTAACAGTGTTAGGAAAATATTAAAACCCGGTTCGATTCCGACAATTTTTAAAAAAGGACATACTATATTGAATGACCCTAAATGTACTCGATAAATCACTCTTTATTTAATATAATATACTATTTAGTAATTCAAATATTTTTTACGTAAGGTACAACTAGTACTACAGAATTACCAGGTCCATCAAATGCATCTACCACGCCTAAAACTCCATTACCAGTATCAAGTAAAACAACTTTTTTTAGTGAATTAGTAGTCAGTACTAAAGTATTAATATATTTAATTTATTAGAAGGTATAAAACGAAAATTGTTTGATGGTGTGGATTGTGATAATCAGTCTGTAGATGTGCTATCTATATCAGAAAGTAAATTGATTTTTAATTACATTTAAAAATTATGTTTATAATACAATACTTTAATTTTTACTATTTTAGTTACACCAATTATTAATTGTACAAGGACTGTGCGTTATATTGGGGATATGTCATCTCCCAATTTTGCCACACCTAGAAAGGCCAAAATTAATTTTAGTAAGGCAAAACTAAAATTAAAGTTGCAAAGAAAAAAAATCAAATCTCTTCAGACAACAGTAAGAAGGTTAAGGAAGAAATTATCATCATTGGAAGCGCTCTTCAAACATTTAAAAAAAAACAATATGATAAGTGATCAAGCTCATGATGATATTTTGGTACTAAATACTTTTATTAGTTTATATTTAAAGTTGTTGTAGTATAAATATAACATTAATTTATAATTTAATATTGTCTAACTTAGAGTCTGTTGTTTCAATTATATGTAAAATATGTAATTATGAATTCTATTGATGTTTTAGATTCTAAACTCATGATTATATTTTGGTACTTAAAACTTTTATTAGTTTATATTTAAAGTTGTTGTAGTATAAATATCCCACCAAAAACATTTATGTAAAATGAGAGCCAAGTTCAATACTATAATATATGCCTTGGTTGTTGACTTCAACGACAAAAGAAGTGAGATCTAAATGGGTGCCAAGTTAGGATAATATATTGAAGCCTAAGGTGTGACTTGGCTACTTTTCATATACGAATTATTATTATAAGTACCTACTAAAACAGTACTGGAAGAGTGAAGATGATTTTCCGAAGAATAAAATAAGAACTCAAAGCTTTAGAACTTGCAAATGCTATAATATATAATTCGTAGCCAAGTCAGACCTTAGGCTTCAATATATTATCCTAACTTGGCACCCATTTAGATTTCACTTCTTTTGTCGTTGAAGTCAACAACCAAGGCATATATTATAGTATTGAACTTGGCTCTCATTTTACATAAATGTTTTTGGTGGGATATCATTACTTTTTGTATGTAAATTATTATAACTAACCTAACCTAGCCATGACGTATTATATAAATAAAGTTTATTACTATATAATATAATTCAGTTACTAATATTAATAATAATATTTATTATAAAATATTTTCCGTTGTATATACAGAGTATAAAATATATGTAAAATGAATATACAATTATTTTAACTCTTTTTGAGTATATTTTTAATTATCATAATTTTATTGACTGTAGTTTCTACTGTTGGGTGGATAATTCATAATTTGTAAGAATAATTATTTAATTATTTTAATTGTAATATTTAAAAAAAATAAAATTAATTACATACATAGATAGAAAAAAAAGTATGTTGCTGCGCGCGGGTCGACAATATCAACACACATTCGGCTAGTCGTATTTTTGGAGCGGCGATACGGGAAAGGTTATTTAAGTCAACATTACATTACAGTGCATTAAATTAGAGGCAATTCATTAATAAATTGAAAAATTAAACATAATAGATAAAATAATTGCAAAAATATAATAAAATCAATTGATTAAAAAATTAAAAAATTAAAAATTAAAAATTAAAAAATTTTAAATTAAAAATTTTCAAGTTTCTGATTTTTTCCTTTGTATTTACCTAACTACCTATCTGTATGCCAAATTTGAACTTTCTAGGTCATCTGGAACTGGGTTAGAATTTTGATCTATAGGTAAGTCAGTGATAAAAGTGACGATTTTCGGACGTTAATATCTAAATAACGGTTTGAAGTGTGTTTATGAAATTTAGAGCACATATGTATCTCGTTAGTCTCAATATATGAGCCAAATTTGACATGTTTATGTGGAATAGTTTTTGAGTTATGAGGGGGTCAAAATTGGCTCCAAATGGTTCGTGTAATATTACACACGGTGCTGCTCGCCAGTTCTGTTAGCTAGAACTTGGCTTGACACGCTACCGCGTGTCTAGATAACATTAATTTATAATTTAATATTGTCTAACTTAGAGTTTGTTGTTTCAATTATATGTAAATTATGTAATTATGAATTCTATTGATGTTTTAGATTCTAAACTCATGATTATATTTTGGTACTTAAAACTTTTATTAGTTTATATTTAAAGTTGTTGTAGTATAAATATAACATTAATTTATAATTTAAAGTATAATAGTATTTTAACCTATTTATTAATACTTTTAGAACAATACTTCTGAATCGATTAAAGAGACTCTTAATCGAAGTTTAAAATCAAAAAATGCCAAGTATACACCATCAATTAGATCGTTTGCACTGACTCTGCAATTTTATTCAGCAAAAGCCTACAATTTTGTTAGAAAAACATTCAAAAACTTATTACCGCACCCAGCCACAATTAGAAAATGGTTTTCTGTGGTTGATGGTGATCCTGGGTTTACGTTTGAAGCTTTTGAAGCTATTAGAAGGAAAGTGACTGAAACACATGAACCAATAATTTGTAATATCACTTTAGATGAAATGGCTATAAGAAAGCAAACAATTTTCTTCAATGGCAAATTCTATGGAGGTGTAGATTTGGGCACAGGTCAGGACCAAAATGATTCAGACAATGTACAACAAGCAACCAACGCACTGGTATTTCTGGCAGTTTGTATGAATGGGCACTGGAAAGTTCCTTTGGGTTATTTTTTAGTACATAGTTTAACTGGATATGAGAGAGCAAATTTACTCACCAAATGTTTTGATTTAATTGCCGATACAGGAGCTAAATGTTTTTCAATTACATTTGATGGGGCACCAACAAATATATCCATGTGTAAATCCCTTGGAGCTAATTTTGATTATGATTCAGACAATTTTAAGCCTTGGTTTTACAACCCAGCTTATCCGGTAGATGAAAAAAAGAAAATTTTTATATTCTGGGATGCATGTCATATGTTAAAATTAGTAAGGAACACATTAGGTGACAAGAAAGTATTGGTTATAAATGGAGATGTCATTCAATGGAATCATTTAGTATGTATGCAAAACATTCAAGAATGTAAAGGATTGCATGCAGCTAATAAATTAAAAAAAAACCATATCAATTATTATGAAAATAAAATGAACGTAAGACTGGCTGCACAAACTCTAAGCTCTAGTGTTAGTTCTGCACTACTGTATTATGAAGAACTAAAATTGATGACAGATACTAAAGGTACTGCTGAATTCTGTAAATTGTTTAATGATGCTTTCGATATTTTAAATTGCAGAAATAAGCTTGCTAAAGGTGATTATTATATTCCCACAAATGAAGAAACAATACCTAAATTAAAAACGTTTTTAAATGAATTCAAGTTATATGTTGAAAGTCTTCAATATGAATCCGGCGAGGAAATATTAAAAAGCAAAAGAAAAACGGGATTTCTTGGATTCATTATCTGTCTGACCAATTTATTAGAATTATATGAGCAAATTAAAGATTATATGACTTTTTTACTTGCATATAAATTAAGTCAAGACCACATAGAGGTTTTTTTTAGTGCGATGAGAAGTAGAGGAGGGTTTAATAATAACCCTAATGTCATTCAATTCCGCTCTGCTTATAAGCGACTTTTGGTACGGCATCAAGTGGATGGATCAACATATGGTAATTGTTCACCTCTTGATAGTGCGAATATTCTTTTTGTGGGATCGAATAAAAGAAAAGATGCAGATGCAATTTGTAATTATCAAAGGGATAATGAAGAACAAATTTTATTTGACGAATTTGAGCATGACTATGATATAACTACTCGTTTGCCTGAATTAGATGAATTTATCATAGATGTTGTTAAATATACTGGAGGCTTTATTGTAAGAAAAATAAAACAAAACAAAAATATATGTAGTGTTTGTGAACCATTTCTAACGGACAAAACTATTGGCAATGAGTCTTTGCTGTTAAAATTTAAAACAAGAGGGAAATTAATAAACATATCATCCGATGTACATAAAATCTGTTTGGCAACAGAATACATAATAAGATTTTACTCGAATAATATACTGAAAATACATAACATAAAAATGTATTTGATAATAAAAACCTTGAATGAAATAAGTTTAGATAAATCTGTGTTCAACTCTAATGAAATGAGACAACATATATATCATCAAGATCCTTTTGATAATCACCGAAGCCAACTAATGAAACTAATTATTGAACTTTATGTATCTCTAAGGCTGAATCACATCGCTAAATTGCACTCAATTGCAACGACAGGCAAGAATGTTCGACGTAATTTAACCAAAGTTATTTTATTTAAAAATCAGTAGTTATTTTAGAATCTAAATTATTATTAATTCTATTATTATATTATTATTATTATTATTATTATATTAACGTTGTTTTAAAATGTAATAAAAACAAAAATACACCATTGTATACATCGTAGCTTAAAGTTTTAGAAAAATATAAATTTATATACGTCGTTCAAAAATATATAAGTAAAATACTAAAATACTAATGTTTAATGTATTAGATACTAGATAGTAGATAATGGAATAACTGATAAAGCCAAAATAAAAATGCACGCATGCGCAGTAGCTACATGCCCTCTTCATATGTTGGCTACATACTCGTTACACGTGAGGTATAGTCGTTGCTCTATCCATGATTGTATATGATCTAAGATATTAATAATATTATGATGAATTCGAGGCGTCCTATCAATTTCTTTATTATCTATGGTCATGTACAAACCCAATTTTTTGGTCACTCTTTATCATGGTAACAAAACCTGTACGCGCATGCGTTCTCTACCATGCGTGTTTCGTTGTCCGTTGCGTTTATTATACTTTAAATTACACAGCTGATGAGTAGATGACAGATTATAATATTAACTATTATTTTATATAGTCCGTGGTCTTTAGGTCTCTGTCGATTGTCGATTCGCATGTTAGTCATAGGTACCAACCTCCGTATTTTGTGTTACTTAATAGTAGGCTTTACATTGTCATTACTCATTTGGCGTGTGTGCTCTGTTCTGTGTAGAATGCGTGTATCTTCATGTTTTTGTGACACATCGCTGTCTTTATTTTTGTTTTTAAAATCTTAACAATATCGTCGGCGTCGCGTTTTATTGCCACATACTACATAGGCGTACCACAGCCGTCCGCGTCAGGGTTCATTTACGCCTGGTAAATCCTCGTCGCCAAGCTTGTAAAGTGTGCCGTGTGTTCGCCATTTGCGTCACACCACTCGGCACTCGGACGGACACAGTCATACGCCACCGGCACAAGTATGCGTGGTTGTGATTTCTCGTCAACTTGGATTGTGCGAATTATGCTCGCCATTTGCGTATTGCTTTCCTTGTTATATACATAAGTAAGTGGCCCGTTCAAATATAGTTTTCCAAATATGGTTTGGCGTTTATAATTTTTTTATGTTTTGAGTTTATATTTACAGCACGAGGTAGCAAATCTCAGGTTGTGAATGGTCTGGAAGTAGAGACAGCCACGATGACGGCCAACAAAGAAGGAACGTACTCGGTACCCAGTTTGTTGAAGTCGGCGTATCACGCATGTAATGAGATCCAGCGGAACAAGTTTAAAGAGCTAAAAGTTCCTTCCGTTACGCAGAGTTCTTGCGAGAAACTGTTCAAAATCGTGAAACTGAATTCGGAATATGGTTGTCATGACCCACTCGGCGATAGGCGGCGGTACATGTTCGAAAAGGCGCAACCCTTCGTCTTTTATCATTTTATTATAAACATATGTGATGATGCTCAGTTTTACGGACATACTGACTGTCTGAGATTCACTCTCGAGATCGGTGTACCCGGGTCAGATTCCATGGACAGACACATAGAATACCTCAAGTGTGCCCTCAAAACCGAACATCTTTTGGATGAGTCGGCGTGCAGCAACTCCACGTTGAACGGGCACTTGGACTGCCTCAAGTATGCGTTCTTAAACGGATGCTCAAGTAAGCGTACATGAACGAGATGACATGCTGCCACAACGGACCACCTGGACTGTCCAAGGTGGTATGTGAATGGATACTTAAATTTGCGAATGACAAATTCTGTTTTTACCTTATTTAATTATACATTTTAATATTATATTATTAATTTCATTTTTTTATTTTTTATATATTTTAAATTACAATAAATAAATATAGTTGTTGTCACTCGATACATTTTTTACTAGGTTATTGCATATATACCCCTTCCCAATCTAATTGTTGATGATAAAAATAAAAATTGGCAGCGTAAAGGAGCCAGCTATTTTTCATGATGAGAACAATTGATATTTGTGATATCCCTTTACGCAGCCATTTTGTACCGGATGATAAAAATCCGAGCCTACATGCAATAATACCTATAAATAAATCGGTGTATACTAGTTGCGGTCAAAATCAAAAAATACGTACTAGTTGCGGTCACCCAACAAAAGATAACAGAGTAACAGACTTAGGACTGTCTACACTCTTATTTATTGTGTAGGTATGGTTAAAAATGTTGGTACTTGGTTTTATGGTTAACCATATGGTTTTATGTCAAATAATATAATATAATGTTGTAAATGTTGTATAGTTAAATTTGTATTAGTCTACTAGTTTTACGAGTCCTAACGAAGTAACGAATAATATTTTTGAAGTTATACTTCTTTACGCAGGGTAGTGAGGAAAAAAAAAGAGAACGGGCGGAGTGTACGAACGCGAAAGCGTACATGTCCGTAAATAAATAAATATTGTCATGCTAATGTTGTTTTATTATCTATACTCTGTTCAAAATAAGACGATGACCCGGCGGCCGAGTTGTGCGCATGGGCGTGGCTTTTGTTCTATAGTAGCACCAAACGCGACTCCGCCGACGGGAGCACCAATTAGTCTAGTATCGACTGTTGATGAGTTAAAATAATTTAAAATACATTATGCGTTTTGTTTGTATGTCTCTGCCGCGGTCGCCAGGCGGTTTACGAACACTGTAATATAATATTTTAATGTATATTTTTTATCATATACTTAGACCATGATATTAAGTAAACATAATTGAAATATTAATTTGTTTATTAACAATAGGGTAATATAAATATAAAAAAAAAATACGTATACGTAATTCATAAATTAAAACTATTTTTGTTTATATTATTTTTTAAACACAATATAATTGTATTTAATATATATATTATAAATCTCTAAAACGATCGTCAAAATAATTATCACAAATGTGTATACAAAATAAATTACATAATAAATTAAAACAATTTTTACAAATTATATACAATTAAAAATCGGAAGAATCGGAAGTCTCGCCTGTTATTGTGAGTACGCAGGGTTCCAAGTTGTCAATAATTTCGTCCATATTTCGGTCGACTTCGGTCATTTTCTCCTCCTCCTTTATCACGTGTTGAATGAAATTTTGCCAGTTTTCACTGGTAACACGTTCAATTGCAGTGTTTAAGAGAACTCTAACGTCATCAATTTTGAATGTCTTATTATTTTGTTTAACATAGGTTTTCACCATTGCCCATGCTAATTCAATTGGGTTTAGCTCACAGTGGTAAGGTGGTAATCTTAATACTGTGTGCCCGGCGTCTTTTGCCATGTTGTCGACAACATATGACGTATACTTGGATTTTATTTCTCTGACCTTTGTGAGCAATTGTGGTTTAAACATTGGCCTATCAATAACAACACCTTTTGATTTCAACCACAATAAAATGTCGTCCTTTTTTGATGAAGATGTCGGTATTTTTTCAGTCTTTACTGAATGGTATGGGGCGTTGTCCATCACAATGACCGAGTTTTGTTCGAGACGAGGAATTATTGACTGAAACCATTCATGAAAATGGTCACCATTCATTTCATCATGATAATCGCCACTATTTTTCTTCGACAGAAAACATAAAAGGCCACCTTCTAAAAAGCCTTTATGCGACCCAATGTGCAACACAATCAATCGTTTACCCGTACCTGTCGGGTTCGTCGACTGAATGGTTTTGTCGACCCATAATTTCTCAACACAATCACCTGCATTTACCCAGGTTTCGTCAAGGTAGTATACCGTGCGACCTTCTTCTCGGTATTTACGAATGTCGTAGATGTAGTTTTGACGCCAAACAAGCAAGTCTTCCCTCTCTGTTAAAACGCTGCATCTCTTCCTTTTAGTGAAGACGAAGTCTAATTTTTTTATAATTGTATACAACGTGGTACGTTTGTAATTGGGAAGCGCTGGATCGTCATTCACTGCTTCCAAAATTTTGTCGATCGTAGGTAATTCTTTTCTTAACCAAAAACTATGTACCTTTTGACGTAACGCATTTCGATCTAAATCGTCAATCTTTTCGAACAGGCACTTCTTACTGCGTTTCTTATCAGGAGATTTGACACTTCCGGTAGTCTTATATTCAGAAATGATTTTACGCACTGAATTCAAGCCAATGCCCAATGTTTTCGAAATTTCAGCCATCATTATCTTGTACTGCATATCTGGGTTTTTCATTGTTAAGTCCTTGTATAAATTGACAATCATCATTTTTTGACGACTCAGTATCACCTAAAATTAAAATAAAAAATATTTTAAAAAAAGTTCGGTAAGTGGATGTCGCTCTGCTGTACAGTAGGTTACAAGTGGGTCACTGTAATGGATTAAATGAATATACTATCATTGTATAAGAAAAACGATTCTGAGCGAAAACGGTCAGTCAGCCTATGATATTACCAAGTATATTGAATGATATTATTGTAAATAAAGTAGTTTATATATAACCTATTTACGTGGAACCTTGTTTTAAATTTTCAATCCTTAGCTATAAAGTTGAAAATTTTATAAATTTTTAAATACAAAATAATTATTCAATTTTAAATTTGATAAATTTTGTCAAAATTCGATCTTTAAATGCTTATAAAAAAAATGTTGCCTATGTATTTTTATAATTTATGAATGGGAGTTAGAACAACTTATGTGGACCCTTCTATTAAATTTTCAAGTATTTTGTCCCAGCTAAATTTTTTTTATTAACATTTATAAAAAAAAAATCAAAGAAAATCGATTATTTCAAATGCCTATAAATAGATTAAAAATTAGTGAAATATTTTGAAAATAAAACTGTATAAAGAAAATGTAAATTTAAACAACTGGTAAAATTTTCAAGTTTCTACGACTTATACTTTTTGAATAATAACAAATATCAAAAATCGTTTGGGGCTAAACCGTTATTTAACGCGGTTTTGTAAAAATTTAACTTTCAAACACTCCTAAAAATTTTTTGTCTTAGTCCGGTAGAGTTTTTTTTACAGATATTTAAAGAAAAACTTATGGAGAACCTTGTACCAAATTTTAAAAACTTAGTTCTAAAAGAAAAAAATTTTATGATTTTTCAACCACAAAATTACTTGCAAATTTTCGCAATTTTGACATACTTCGTATAAATTTGAACTTTAAGCACTTATAAAAAAAAATTGTGACTAACGATTTTGGATTTTTTTTTATCACTATGAGAACAACTTATAAGAAACCTTGTATTAAATTTTCAAAATTTTCTAGTCAACCAAAAAATTTTTATCGTTATTTAAAAAAAAATACTTAGAAAAATTGAAAATTTCAATTGTCTACTCACTTTTCCTGGTACATTTATTCTTTTTGGTGAAATAGTATCGTCCATATTCTCCATTTCAGGAACCTCATCTAAACGATCACTCATTGTAAATTGATTTACGTAAAATTTGTAAACAACGTAATAAAAAAAATAAAAAAATAGTATGGTATAGTTATTACACAGAGACAAATATAAGCAAATACGGTGGTGTTACAACAGAGATCACAGCACAAATGCGTTGTATCAGTGAAATGTACAATGTAAGATAGTGCTGCCGACGCACATCCTGCAGGGGGATATCAAGCAGGTGTTCTTTTAGTTGTTCTTTTTGTCCTCTAAGGGACGCACATTCCAATAAAACCCACCAAATAATGCACAACGCACATACGCACATTCGCCAGCGCCGTATGCATGACGCACGCACGCACATCCACTTCACGCGGCGTGCACATCCCACCAGAGCCTCGGTCACGTGATCGATGCTCATGGGTGGAGTCTGACCGCCGCCCGACAAAAACTGGTCGCCGCCGGGTCATCGTCTTATTTTGAACAGAGTATATATATATAAAAATGGAGACAAAAAATTCGAAATTGCATCAGTTGAGAACGGCTGGGCCGATTTTGCTCAAATTTTTTTTAAGATGTTCGTAATTGCCAGGTGAAGGTTTTTACGAATGAAAATTTTTAAAAAGTCAACCGAATAATAAGAAAAACTGCAAAAACTATTTATTGATGTCTGGGATTTGAACTCGATACCGTTGTCTTTATTTACTCTATGGTGTATTATATTATATTGGTTGCTATTGGTTAATCGGGCATGTTTGTTGATTTGTATTATTATTTTTTGTAAATATATCTTATATATAAATGAATGACGGTGTGTAGATTAGACCTATGGGAAGAAGATACGCTAATTTAAGAAGGGTTAAATTTGGTTTTTTTTATTCATCGGATTTTAGTACTGTTATGTTAGGTTAGGATTTATAGGTAGGTGAAATTAAGTAAAAACGTCAAACTTGGTATAACTTTTATACTTTTTGAGTTAAATCATACACTTACGTACAAACAGCACGGGGTCCGCGATCTACCGCAGGTAAATTACCTATCTGATAATGTACTGCTGCAATTCAGAATTTTTATTCCGGGCAACAGAAAAGTTAAGATACATCTAGAACATCATACACCGAATATTAAATAACGCATTGAACAATGTTTGAGTCATATAGAGTTGGTACATTTAACGGGAAACGAAGTTAATAATTATATTTATATTATAATCGGGCCATACTAATTAATATGAATAATTAATAATCGATTATTATTTATTTTTATTATTATTATTATTATTCACTCACAAATCTATTGTCTGGATGAAAACAATACTAGAAACATTTATC